TAACTAGGTAATTAAGCAATAACATGACTTTGGAGTTAGTTTCTTCTTAACCTCACGCAGATAATGACTGAATCTTGAACTTTGAATCAATTAATGTACATATTTTTGAATGCTCTGGTCTCTCACTTGTAGTCTGAATGAATTGTGTTAATAACTATGTGACATGGAAAATATCTTTTTAAATATTTTATTGATGCAAATAAATGTATAGGAAAGAGGCATATTTTCATGAAACTCAGTTTTCAAACTTTCTGTATTGACAGAATATTGTCCTCAAAGAAGTTTCCATCTGGGAACTTTTGTACAGCAGACAGTGTTGACTTCCCAGCTATTGCCGTCTAGGTGCATATGTAGCAGTCCTTATGCCGGTTGCCTTTACTTTCTGAAATTCCATGTCTGCTTTTTACCTGTCCAGCCTGTGAACAGTCTGCCTATTCTTGCACTCTGATGCAGACTATAGGTTGAACCTCCCAAATCCGGGATTCTCTGGTCTGGTAGGGCAGTTGGGCTGGCAGCAGCTAGGTGACCTCGGCAGCGGAACCCTGGCTGGCAACAGACAGTCCCCAGCCAGAACCCCAAGGAACTCTGGTGACAGCAAGCAGGGTAGAAGCCCCAAGGAGAGGAGCCGAGGTGTGGGGCAGTCAGCTGGGGAGTATTGACCTCCCCTGGTCCAGCAAACTTCCTGGTTTAAGACCACTCAGGGCCCGAGAGTGCAAGACCAGGGAGGTCCAACCTGTACAATATGAAATTTTCTTTGTAGTATTTTACTTTTTTAGGCTTCAATATGTATAAACATAACAAAAAAGCAGCAGGAGGAAACGTCATATAACACATACAAGGAGCATGGCAAAGGCAAGTCTTTTCCCCTCCCATAGACGTATGGAGAACCATAAAGAACTAATACATGTGTGAGCAAAGACAAAAACCAAATGTAAACATATAGGCTACGTCTAGACTGGCATGATTTTCCGCAAATGCTTTTAAGGGAAAAGTTTTTCCGTTAAAAGCATTTGCGAAAAAGAGCGTCTAGATTGGTACGGATGCTTTTCCACATAAGCACTTTTTGCGGAAAAGCGTCCGTGCCAATCTAGATGCAGTTTTGTGCAAGAAAGCCCCGATCGCCATTTTCGCGAGCGGGGCTTTTTTGCGCAAAACAATACCGCGTTGTCTATACTGGCCCTCTTGCGCAAAAGCATTTGTGCTAGAGGGCTTTTGCCTGAATGGGAGCAGCATAGTATTTCCGCAAGAACACTGGCAATCTTACATGAGATCGTCAGTGTTCTTGCGGAAATTCAAACGGCCAGTGTAGACAGCTGGCAAGTTTTTCTGCAAAAGCAGCTGCTTTTGCGGAAAAACTTGCCAGTTTAGACGCAGCCATAGGGTGTATATTCATAATTAGTAATTTCCATGGTCAACATTTTTATTCTGTCTTCCTTGCCATGCAAAATTGAACATAGTCTCTTTACTGTAAGTAATTAATCCCTGTCCATGATCTAGTCCAGAATGATCTTTGTTTGTTTTACAGACATTTCCACAACCGTTTTCTGTGTTTTTAAAATGTCAAACTTGAAGATAATGACATTTAATAACTATCTGGATAATAAGTAGTATTTAGTTAGAGACATTTTCTGAATGATGGAACGCATTAAATTCAATAGTTAGATCATTGAACTTATTGTTACAGTGGCCTTCTAGTAGCCTTCTTTCAGTTTTGGCCTAGTTATTCCATCAATGACAGGTGACTACTTGGATTTTGAAAAATGAATAAACCACCCCCTGGTAACAGTCTCACATGCAAAAAAATAGGAATCAAAGGGAAGTGTGATATCAAAATGCTTTAAAATGTCACTGATTCCCTATTCTTTCCAACTAGTCCCTCATCTGTTCAGCATATCTGCACATATAACAGAATGAACCTCCTCCACAACTCCTCCCATGGCACGAAGGAAGACTCTAGCAAAGCTCTGACAAAGCTCCACTTTATGCAGAAAAGGGCACCAGCTCCCTCTATACATCAGATTCATTTCCTTTGGATCACAAAACATTGCACATTTTGCTTTATTTTTTCAGTCTTTGTGCCATCCCTCTTAACTGCAATAAGTTGCTCAAATTGGGGAAGCAGATATTACTTTCCATCTTGTGTGTTTCTTCAGAAAATTTTCCTCCTCTCTTTGGAGAAACTGAAAACAAATGCCATTCCCTTACCTATCTCTGAATTTGTTGCCATGAATGAAGAACCCCTCTCTCTGGGGAAGAAGACCCATGATCCATAGCTAGTCATGGTTAATGTCAAAATGATATGTACCATTTCCCGTTCTCTTCTATATTTTGTGGATAGGCACCCAATTTATATTGGTCATTTGTTACTGGCTTAGAAATAGAACCATATTGTGATTTCCCCCCCCCCCCCCCCCGCGGCTGTGTGTCAAGGGGAGTTGGGTTCAGCTTTGCCTGTGATTACGAGTAGACCCCTCGCTGATCCTGATCTTGTGGATCAGTTACCATTAGTGATCTAAGATGTGAAAGGATTAGCAAGAACTACATAGAAAGGGGTGAGAACTCAGTGAAAGAAGAAACCCAGGAGAAAGGAGCTCAAGGAACCCTCTCTGGGAAGGGCCTAGTGAAGGGAGGCTGGAGAAAACCATAGGGAGCAGCTTGTAAGAAGGAGGAAAGACCCTGAAAGAAGTTGCCAGAGTAGAAGGGGAGGCAAAGGGGAAATCTGTTGGGGAAAAAGAGCTTTCAGGGGAAAAAACAGGAAGGTAGTTCTCAGCCAAAAGAGCAAAGTAAAAACTCTGCAGTCACCAAGAATAGGGGTGAAAAATAGGGAACTTCTTTGTAGCCTAAAAGGGGCAAGAGTATCTTTTGCTTGAATAACCGTGTTGATTCTGTAGTTGGACTTTGCTGTCCCAGGGCAGAACTGAACTTAAGAGGTCACCTGGCCAGAGAGCTAGGCCCTAGGAGACTACTACAGAGAAAGGCCATCACAACTTCGCATGGCTAAAGAAGTAATCAAGAAGGAACTTCAGAAATGGACACCTTGGCCCCTGCACATAGTTTCAGAAAGTTGTACAGTGGTGAGTGTTACTGCTTAGACTACTAAACTAAAAACATCCTAAGTATTGGCACATCAGAATTAATATTTGATTAATCAGTGTACTGGTAAGCATAAAAATCTCTCTAATTCCTTAGAAACCTTCATATTAGCCTACAGGAACTGGATATATTGGTTTTTAGTTGGGAACACTGACCCATGTCACTATGTTTTGGCTCTACATAATGTTAAGAAAATAAAAATATATATTAAATAAGACAAGACATGAAGCTTCTTTGAAGTTGGAGATACTTAAACTATATGCAGTAGATCTGCCTTTGAAATGGACTGTACTGAAGCCTACTGCTTGTCCATATTAGTTGTTGTTTGTGGTGTTTTCTCTATATGGGTCCTAGAAAGGAAGTGAAATAATGAAAGAACAACACATTAATATAGAGGGCAGGGGGCTTGTGTATTTGACAGCTGGGACAGAACACTTTAAATAGTGCATGTAATATAATCTACTTTAAAGGATGTATATATTGCCTTGCACAAAACTTGGGGTGAAATCCTGGCTCTCGGAAAGTTGATGACAAAACTCCCAAATCTGTTCAGGATCAGACCTTTCTTAAGAAAAAAAATAGAAATGTCCCTTCTGATTTATAACTCACTATGACTATCTGTGATTTGCAGTGGGTATACGCTACATAAGCAACATTCTCATTGAAGATGAGAGTGCTCAGCTGTGTCTGAAAATGAGGGTTAGATGCCTTGTTTTAGCTACCAAAGTTAGAAAAATTTAGCCCCAAGTTGGTGTGGAGATAGTACTGTACATTTTTCTTTCCTCTTTAAGTACAATTTTAGCTTATTTTATCTTTACTTTTAAATGCTCCTGTTTGGATCTTTGCTAAACAATGTTAGTGGTAGTAGAACTAGTCATTGGCAGAATGGACTTACAACACATGCATTTTCTGTACACTGAAAAGTAAAGCAAAAATTAATGAAAATAACATCTGATAGAGTTTCAGTAAATATTGAAATATGTAGCAATATAGCATAACATTAATATGGAATAGAGCTGATATATTGCAGAATGCATTTTATAATATAGATAGAAGATAAGCTTTAATTGCCCTTATGTGCCTTAGATTGTCAAACGTGAAGGAATTTTAAAAAGTCACAGCAGTTTTATCATTTTAACTTTGTTCAGCTGGCGCTGTGGAAAAAAAGACTGGTTAGCTTCATACTGTGGTTCTCCTACTGTAACACAGTGCTACAATATTTGTGATCCAAACACTGCAAGTTCATTATTAAATGTAAACAAACCATTGTGAGGAAAGTGAAAAATTATTAAACTACTTTTAAAAGAATAAAAGATTATAAAACTGATTTTCCCCCAATGAAACCTACATGTTGGACCAGAACTCCCTTGGCAGTGCCTTACTTAAGGTAGTAACAAATATATACATTCTATCTATATAATTGCAACAAGTGATGTGAATATGGTGTATACAAGGCATGGGAGTAGGCCACATAAATGGCCTTCCTTCATCTCAGTGAACTGCAAGATTGTCGTAACCAAGATGGTCTCCCAGGATAAAGTCATTTTGCTAACTGCGCTTGCGTACCTAGAATTTGCAGGGTGTGCTGATTGAATCATGGCTGTGCTTTGATTGGATGCAGGGGGAGCACATGGCTCTCATAGTCAGTGTTGGTTGCAATCAGCACACACCCTGTTTCGTGTGCTCTTGCTTTGTGTATGTCACTTTAGTAATACTGGTAGGAAAAAAATGATGTGGACAGAATCCAATGGAATCTGGTAACCCTTCACATGGGCAACGGTAAACAAAATGTCTCACGGGCCACACATAAAACCCTGATGGGCCGCATATTGTTCACAGGCCGCAGGTTGCCCAGCACTGGTGTATGTAGTAAATAAGCCTCTCTTCCCACTTGTCTCTCCATACAGAATCCAGCCATTCCAATGCAGAAGCTGCAAGATATTCAGAGAGCTATGGAGCTGCTCTCTGCATGCCAGGGACCAGCAAAGAACATTGACGAAGCGACCAAACGTAAATACCAGTTTTGGGATACACAACCTGTACCGAAACTAAGTAAGTTTATTTGGGCCTATGTACAACATTTTTCCTTAGCAGCTAGAAGAAAATATGTTGAAATGTTACAGAGTGTTCTGTAAAATAGATATAAAATTGGACTGCTAGGAGCTATTCTTTATCAAAAAGGATTAGGATTCAGCAGTCACTTCTGCTTTTTGTAGCTATCTAAAATTACTGATAATACTAGTGTGGATGGTTGATGTGGTATTATTATAATCCCACTTGGGCAAATTTGGGCTTGAACCTGAAAATTACAAGGAAGAATGATCTCTACCATTTCAGTGAAAGGAATAACTTGGTTACTTAGTAACAGTAGTAGATTTTTGAACTGTTATGAACCCAAGTATAGAGAGGAACAAAACCCCCACATTATGTTATCTAGCTATATATTTTAGAAATGTGCATCTGTCTGCCTGTCTGTATGTGAGTCTGTTTGTTCAAGAGCTCCTTCTAAACGGTAAGAGCTAGGACCACCAAATTTGGTATGCAGCTTCCTCTTAGCCAAATCTTGACCATGCTTTAAGTTAGGATATGCCAGGAAAATGAAAAGTGCTAGGAATGGGACTGTTTTCTGTTACATGGAAAGTGGCACGGCACAGCCCACTCATTCCCACATCTCCCATTGGCTGGGAATGGCAAACTGCAGTTCCTAGGAGGTACGGCACTCCGTGCCTGCTCATGCTCAGGTAAACAAACCATCTGGCGGCCCATCAGCAGCTCACCCTGATGACCTGCAGGCAGATGATTCCCTATCCCCAGTGTACACCTTTACATTTTTCAGCATCTTTCTCAGGTGTTGAGTGAATGTGCTGGGGAAGAAAGCTCTTTGTTCAGTGTGTTGAAGATTATGACTTCAGATGGAGGCATTAGTCTTTCTGCTTCAAGGAATGGTTACAGGAATATTTTTTTTATAAACTTCAGAGTTTTCCCTCCTTTTGCTGTTATGAGACTTCCACCAGCTGTCCTATAAATAGTACAGGTTGAACCATCCATGGTTGTTGCTGGACCAGAGAGACCCAGTGGTGGGCCAGAGGCAGGAGTCCTGCTGGGTCTGGGAACCCAGCCAGGCTGGCTGCAGGGAGGACAGTGGCAGTGAGTCCTGCCACGAGAGACCAGCTGAAGGATCACAGAGCTGCCGCAGAAGGGCTGGCAGAGTAAGGAGCCTCGGTAGCTAGTAGGGTCAGGAACCCTGGTGGCTGAGCAGCAGTCTGCCATTGGGTGGGGGGGGGCAGGGGGGGCAGGAGTCCTGGCAACAGGACTGCGGGCTAGCGGGACTGGTGCTGCTGTGGCAGGACTTGTAGGGCCTGGAGAACTGGCAATAGGGCAGTGGTCTGCCACGGCAAAGCTGAGAGACCCAGCAGTGGGACCGTGGGCTGCTGTGGCAGGGCTACTCATATTTGGGGATCCCACCAGGAGGGCAAGCTAGGAGCAGAGCCGAGCTGGGGGTCGGTGGTGGGAGGGCAGAAATTACCTCCCCTGGTCCAGCAAAAACCCTCCTTCGGGACCACTCAGGTCCTGAGGGTGGTGCACCCGGGAGGTCCAACCTGTATATGATAGTTAGACAGTACCAAGTTCACAGCCATGCAAACCATCATGGACTGTGAAATCTGGTGTCCTTCCTTGAAATCTGGCTTTTTATGTGCTTTTACACTATACTATATATATTTCATGAGAGAGACCAGTGTTTCTCAAATTGGGGGTCCTGACTTAAAAGGGCTTGGAGTCGCAAGGAGATCACAATGTTATTTTAGAAGGGTCACGGTATTGCCACCCTTACTTCTGCACTGCCTTCAGAGCCAGGCAATTGGAGAGCAGTGTTTGTAATGTTGGCCATGTGCCCAGCTCTGAAAACAGCACCCTGCCAGCAGCAGGGCAGAAGTAAGGGTGGAAATACCATAACAATACCATCCCATCCCATCCTTACTTCTGTGCTGCTGCTGGCACTAGCAGCTCTGCCTTCAGTCTGCCAGCCAGCCTGTCTCTTCTAAAGGCAGCGCCACTGTCAACAGCAGCACAGAAGTTAACAAGCATGGTTAACACAGCCTGGGCTCATCAGTTAACGTGCACGGTTACACACAGCCCTGCCCCCCATGGTGCCGCCTCTCCCTCCTTCCCTGTGTCTCCTTGTAGCAGCTGAAATTTTCAGCAGTTATATGTTTACTTAAATAAACCTTCTTTGTGTGTGCAGACCCTTGCAATTACAATATTGTGAAATTTCAGATTACAATATCACAAATAATGAAATTTACCGGTTTTTAAATCTTGTGACCATGAAATTGATCAAAATTGACAGAGAATTTGGTAGGACCCTAGCTATAGTGGATCAAGACTGTCATTTTGTAGCGGTGGTATCTGATGGGTTCTCTGTACCCAGAGCTGCTGGTGATTCTGATCTTCCAACCTGCACAGCAGGCAATACCAACTTAGTATTATTGGGCAATCTCCTGACAGAACCTCTTTCTGCAAAGAAGCAACCTAGTACCTCCTACTGGTCATTCAGATGCATTAATGAGAACTAAGATCACAACAGTCGCATGTACATTATCAATAATTTGTGCAAACATGATCAACATATCTATATTTCCTAATGTTGTTCAGCTTTAGAAGCCTTCCTTGGAGCTGGTTGGGCGATGTACAATAGCTGTCCAATAGAGGAAAGGCAGCTCCTGTTTATATTTAAAAAAATATCTTTAACCTAATTGCCTGAGAAGTTCTGAAGGAAGAAAAGATTACCCTGCAGGAAGTCCTTAACTCTCGATGTAATCACAATTTTAATTTGCAATTTACAAATGAAAACTTTTCTGCTTCATCAGCAGGCATTCTATCAAAAGCCCTGGTCCTGCAAACATTGGTGCATGTGAGTAGCACCATCGAGTCAGTATTTGCAAGATCAGGACCATAGCTTATGAATCTCACTGTTGAACTGCAAAACTCCACCTCAGAGATAGCTTTCAGTAGTTGACTAAGTGATACATAAACGCTGATCATTCGCTATTCAGTTGTGCTCTGTTATGAAATGTTATAAATTGCAGTAGAATAGCTCTGAGCCTCTGTACCGTAACTGCTGGAGTATTAGCTGACATAAGTGAGATGTTTAAACCGAAATCATGTAAGCAAACAAAACTTTATTTTTAACATTTTTAAATGGCTTCACATTCTGATTACATAATTGTACATTATATCTTGTGTAAAGTGACTTCAAAAATTATTAATTTTCAAATTAGCTAGTAGTATATCTTTTTTCCCCTTTCTTTCTATACCAGATGAAGTTATAACTTCTCATGGTGCAATTGAACCAGATAAGGACAATGTCCGTCTAGAGCCATACTCTTTGCCACAGGGTTTTATGTGGGACACTTTGGACCTGAGCAATGCTGAAGTTGTAAGTAAAGCCATGTGTGTACACACACAGTTCTTGATTAAACATTCTGGCTGATGTGTAAGATAATTTTCTTTCTTTTTTTATATGTGTTTTTAGCTAAAGGAACTATATACCTTACTAAATGAGAATTACGTAGAAGATGATGATAACATGTTTAGGTTTGACTACTCACCTGAATTTCTTCTGTGGTGAGTAGCAATTTCTGCACTGGGTTGCAAAGGAGGAAGTTTTGATCACATTCTTTTGGGCACTAATCTGTAACTGTGTTCTAGGGCATTACGTCCTCCAGGCTGGTTACCTCAATGGCACTGTGGAGTTAGAGTATCATCAAACAAAAAATTAGTAGGCTTCATAAGTGCCATCCCTGCACACATTCGAATTTATGACAGGTAAATATAAATTTTACAATATATTTTAGAAATGTCTGTAAGTCCATTTGTTTAGGAATTCCTCCTAAGCGGTAAGAACTGGGACCATCGTATTTGGTATGCAGCTTCCTCTTATTATAATTTAAAGGAGTGTAAGGGTTTGATTGTGCCAGGATAATGGGATGTGCCTGGAATTCAGTTATTTCTCATAAAATGGAAAGGGAGGGAAAGGGACTGGTAAAAGGGAGTTATACTCTGGAATGACCACAAGGGGGCAGCAAGGGGCCAGAGATGGGGACTGGGACAGCTATAATAACCCAATTAGGCCAGAATAGGGCAGAGGTAGAGAAATGGACAGCTATCTAATATTTGTTTAAGAGAGTTTGTGTGTCTGTTTGTCCCCCAGCTGGAGGACATGCACCTGTCCCCCAGCTATACCCACTGCAGCAGTCATAGACAGGCACTTCTCACCTGGCCCCAACTGCTATGGTGAGAGAAAACTGGGGTAGTCCTCTCTCCCCGGACAGCCTGCATACGAAACTCCTCAGGCCCTGCCCCACCCCAGAACAATGATTTAAATGAAGAAAAACAAAACTTATTTGAATTAAGGAGCCAAGTAATACTGGGTAAATCTTTTAGTAAACAAATAAAAACAAATGATAAATCTTGAACAGTCTTTCATGGTGGAGATTGTCTGATTGAGGAGCTGAGTGGTAAGACTCATTGACGGTAGAAGCCGAAAAAACATCATAGTCTGAAATTTTTCAAAAGCCTTTTGCAAGTTTCCAATTAAAACTAATAGCAAGCCAATGACCACCTCAGAAGCATTCTACTGATGGAACATTGGAGAGATGCTTGGTGTTTTCTGACCTTTTGGAAAGTGTAAGGTGGATGTTCAGTTAGTTAGACTTACAGGTTCTCTCTGTAGGATTGGCCACTGGAAAGATTAACTAGAGAATATGAACTGTGGATTCTTTTGACATCTCTTTCCTCTTTGATTGCTTTCTGGGCACTTAAATCCAGGATGCTGTTCAGGTCTGGGTATAGTTCTAAAAGTTATTACACACAAATTCTCCAATTTTGGCATCTTGTAAGATGCAGTTACAGAATATTGACATTTGTTGTATACTTTCAGGATGCAACTTAAGGCAGCCAAATTAAAAATATCAAGAATATATAAGAAATTTTAATGATTCTTCAGAATTCTTTGTTACATGGTTGAGTTTTTTCTGTTGTGGATTTTAAAATGAGCATTATTTGTTTTTAAGAAGCTACATAGTATAACCTGAAATTCTACTATCATCATGGAAAATAAAACTATATAAATAAGACTGTACTATGTTTTAGTGGGCTTTGTAACCATTTTGTTATTTAAATTGCTTTTAGTGTGAAGAAAATGGTAGAAATCAATTTTCTTTGTGTCCATAAGAAATTGAGATCTAAACGAGTAGCACCTGTGCTGATTCGGGAAATAACAAGAAGAGTAAACCTGGAAGGGATTTTTCAGGCAGTTTACACTGCAGGAGTGGTACTCCCCAAGCCTGTGGCCACATGCAGGTAACCTAGGTGGTGTTCATAGTAACATTGCTCCCAAAAATAATCATGTTAAAGATTGATTATTGATTCCTTGTCAATTTTCACAAAGTAGCTAATAAAAATTCATTTTTCTTCAATAAATTCTGATAAACACTGTGGACTTGGCTATGTCCTCTAGATTAGAATCAACTTCTTTGTGATGCCTTGGGCAAAGCCTCTTGGAGTAAAATCTAGTAAAGGCTGGATTACCCAATAGACAGACTAAGCACGTGCTTAGGGCACCAGCAAAGGCACCAAAAAAATGAGATTTTACGGTACAGTACTGTTTTTATTTTGAATTAATTATGGGGGGGGGGCACCATAATCTTTTCAATGCTTAGGGCCTCTAAAGGTTTTAATCCGGCCCTGAATCTAGTCCCTATTTTAATCTATTTGAGGTACTGCCTTCACTGTGATAGAAAGTTCATCATTGAACTAGCAATGATGGGGTTGTATACTTCAGCACATAAATTTTACATGACCTTTTTCCTAACTGGTGGGTCAGTGGAGTTTCTGAAAAGAATATTGTACTATGTTTTAAACACATTCCTGCATGGTCTCCAGTGGAGAAATGGCAGTTTGGTGTGCATCTTATAGTGATAGAAAAAATATACAGTCAGAAAAGTTTTGTGTGACGTTCGGTATAACTTTGTTGGTGTGGAATGGATCCTGTATTGCTTATGCTGCCACAAGTTCAATCACGGTAGGGTTGGCTCAGCCCTTAACCCTTCTGGTAGATAATCAAGATCTGTGTGGTTCTTTGGATCGTCAGGATGAAATCATAAAAGCTGAAATCTTATTTGCAGTTTATGGACATCAAAGAGACCATGAATCTTTTTTGGGGACAAGTAGGTAGAAGGCTTTGCTATCTGTGGTCTGAATTTTCCCTCCTTTGATGCTGGATATTCAAGTATGTTCTGTCACAGAGACAGCTGGCAGGAGAAGCATCCCCAAAAATACACAGACAAGCAGAGGGTCTTATCCATACATCAAAATAAGAATTGTAAAGAAAACCAAGGCTATGACTAGGTCTGGCTATGACCAGAACTCCTGGTTAATAATCTCAATATTAAAAATCTATGTAGATACAAGCTATGATAGCCAACTATACCATGGTCATTAAGTGGTTTAAATGGTGTAGTACTGACACTTTATTGGCCCATTTAGTTACTACGTAAGCTCCCTGTACATAGCAGGACAAGAATGCACCTTAAATGCAATTGTTCATTGGGAGGCTAATGGATGAAATATATATATAAAACATGTTTGAATTAGTAATTATATTAACATGTATTTTAAAATATATTTCCAGGTATTGGCATCGATCACTAAACCCCAGAAAATTGGTAGAGGTGAAATTTTCACATTTGAGTAGAAATATGACTTTACAAAGAACAATGAAGCTCTACAGACTTCCCGATGTAAGCAATGTGTCTACCTACAGAACCCTCATAGTACCCTTCCCTCTGTCTCTTCTCATTTTTGATGAAAGGCTTTTACACCATGTAGAAACACATTTGTTGATTGGGTAGGGGATTACAAGAGTGTAGATCAGTGGTTCCTAACCACTGGGCTACAGCCTGCTGCCAGGCCGCAGACCTCTGGATGCCAGGCTGCACTGGGGGTGGTGGGAAGGGTGGAGGGTTCTGCAGGCTGGGGCTGGGATGTACTGCTGTTGCCGTGGCTGTTGGAAAAGGCATGTCCTGCCCCACCTCTCGGCCAACCAATGCTGGGCAGGGGTGAGGTCTCCTCCTAGCCATGAAGAGCTTTTCCTTGCACTCTGGGAGGCTACGCAGCTCTCCCACCACACAGGGAAGCATTCTTCCATGGCCAAGAAGAGACGCTGCACCATGCAGCCCTCCTGCCATGCAGGAATGCTGCCCGGTTGGCTGAGGCAGGGCAGGAGGCACTGAGCCATGTTCCTGAGTCCTGGCCCCCAAAGCCGCTGCAACGCAGGCAGAAGTGCAGAGCTAGGTGAGTTGGGCGGGGCGGGCTCTGGGAATGGGACTGATATTAGGGGCTGGCACTGGGGGGGAAGATCTGAGGAGGGTTGGTTGCAGTGGGGCTATGGAAACAGGATGCTGGTACTGGGGGCACTCAAGGGGCAGGGACTGGCACTAAAGCATTTGGGATAGGAGCTGGTACTGGGGGGCGCTGTGGGCAAGAGGCTGGCATAGGCTGGCACTGGGGAATAGTGGAGGGCTCTAGGGGTTAGAGCTGGCTGTGAGGGCTGGGCTTTTGGCGGACCAGTAACGTTTTATTTGTATATTTGCATAATGAATATTCAGCTATGCAATTAAAATGTTGCTGGTCCACCAAAAGTTTGTGTATGGGTTGCCAGTCCCTGGTATCAAAAAGGTTGGGAACTACGGATGTAGATGAGTTTATTTAGAAATACCAGAGACCTTAAAGACTCACAAAGCCCCCAAAATAAACTTCAGCTCAATCCCATTCAACAAGTCTGAAGACACACACTTTTTACACTTATGTACAGTTAATTTTTCAACTAATTAATGTATCACTTTAAATGGAGTAGGAAATTCACAGTTTATGGCTTAAATTTCTTACAAAGAAGGCAAAACTACTAGGAGCAAGACGAAGACCAAGGACAAGTTAAGCCCACTGCTCAATGAAAGGGGAAAAACAACAGAAAATATGGAAATGGCAAAGACGCTTACTGACTTTGCTTTCATCAAGAAGGTTGGTGATCATTGTACATCTGACATAGTGAATGCCAGTGAAAATGAGGTGAGATCAGAGGCTAAAACAGTAATTTAACAATTACTTAAACAAATTGGATGTCATAGGGCATGATGAAATTAATCTTGGGAAACTGGAGGAGCTGAGTGAGGAGATATCTGAACCATTAGCTATCATATTTGAAAAGTCCTGGAAGATGGGAGAGACTCCAGAAGACTGGAAAAGGGAAAAGATAGTGCCAGTCTATAAAAATGGAAATAAGGACAACCTGGGGAATTACAGACCAGTCATCTTAATTTCTGTACCCAAAAAGATAATGTAGTAAATAATTAAGCAATCAGTTTGTAACTATCTAGAAAATAATAAGGTAATTAGTAACTCAGCATGGATTTGCCAAAAACAAATTGTGTCAAACCAACCTATATAGCTCTCTTTGTTTGTTGACAGATTAACAAACCTTGGGGATAAGGGGGAAGAAGCAGAAGTGGTATATCTTGACTTTACTAAAGCTTTTGATGCTGTCATAGAAGGTTAGGGCTGGAAGAGACCTCAGGAGTTCGTCTGGTCCAACCCCCTGCTCAAAGCATGACCAATCCCAATTAAACCATTCCAGCCAGGGCTTTGTCAGACCTAGTCTTAAAAACCTCTAAGGATGGAGATTCCACCAGCTCCTTATGAAACCTATCCCATTGCTTCACCACTCCCTTAGTGAAGTAGTTTTTCCTAATAACCAACCCACTGCAACTTGAGATCATTGCTTCTTGTTCTGCCATCTGCCACTACTGAGAATAGCCTGGCTTCTTCCTCCTTGTGAGTCCCCTTTATGTAGTTGAAGCTTGCTATCAAATCCACCCCACTTCTTCTCTTCTGCAGATTAAATGAGCCCAGTTCCCTCAGCCTCTCCTAAGTCATGTGCCCCAACCCCCTAATAAGTTCCTTTCAATAGTGGGGGTCCCAAAACTGAACTCAGTACTCCAGATATGGCCTTATCAGTGCTGAATGGAGGGGAATCCTCATTTCCCTTGATCTGCTGGCAACACTCCTGCTAGTTCAGCCCAATTTGCCATTAGACTTCTTAGCAACAAGGGTACACTGTTAATTCCTATCTGGCTTCTTGTCTACTGGAATCCCCAACTTCTTTTCCGCAGAATTGCTGCTTAGCTAGTTGGTCCCCAGCCTGTAGCAGTGCATGGGACTCCTCCATCCTGAGTGCAAAACTTTACACTTCTTGGTAAAGTCGAGGTATTTCACAGTGATTACTTTCCCAATATTTGCAAAGCCGATTATCTCACCTTAGAAGGTAATCAGGTTGGTCAGACATGACTTGCCCTTGGTGAATCCATGTTGCCTGCTCTTGATCACCTTCCTCTCCTCCAAATGTTTCAAAATGGATTTCTTGAGGACCTACTCCATGATTTTTCTAGGGACTGAGGTTAGAATGATCAGTCTGAAGTTTCCCAGATCCTCATTGTTCCCTTTTTAAAAGATAGGCTCTATATTTGACTTTTTCCAATCATCCAGCACCTCCAGTCGACACGAGTTTTCAAAGATAACAGCCAGTAGTTCTACAATCCCATCAGCCAACTCTTTCAGCAGCCTTAGGTCTGACCCCATGGACTTGTATATATCCAGGTTTTCTAAATAGTAATTAACACATTCTTTCTCTATTGAGGGATGCTCACCTCCTTACTATACAGTTCTACCCAGTGCAGCAGTCTGGGATCTGACCTTGTTTGTGAAGACCGAGGATAAAAAAGCTTTGAATACTTCATTTTTTCCCCACATCATCTGTTACTAGGTTGCCTTTCCCATTCAACAAGGGTTCTACTCTATTCCTGACCTCCTCCTGAAGAAACCCTTCTTGTTATCCTTCTCATTCCTTGGTATCTGCAACTCCAATTGCACTTTGGTCTTCTTGATTACATCCCTCCATGCTTGAGCAATGTTTTATATTCTTCCCTAGTCATCTATCCAAGTTTCCACTTCTTGTAAGCTTCCATTTAAGCTCACCAAAGATTTCTCTGTTAAGCCAAGCTAGTTGCCTGCCGTATTTACTATTATTTCTGCACATTTGGGATAGTTTGTTCCTGTGCCATCAAAAAGGCTTCTCTAAAATGCTGCCATCTCTCCTGGATTCTTTCCCCCTTATCTTAGGCTCCCAAGGGATCTGCCCATCAGTTCCCTGAGGGAATCAAAGTCTTGCATGACCTCCTCATAAACAAACTAGGGAAATTCAACTTAAAGAGGTACTAAAAGCTGTATTCAAAACTAGTTGGAAAACCATTTCCAGAGAGTAGTTATTAATGGTTCACAGTCCTGCTGGAACGCTATTATGTGTGGGGTCCCACACAGATCAGTGTTGGCGCCAGTGCTGTTCAATATCTTTATCAATGATGTAGAGAATGCCACAGAGCAGGGATGAGCAAACTTCTTGGTCTGAAGGCTACATCGGGGTATGGAAATTCTGTGGAAGGCCATGAATGCTCATTACATTGAATTTGGGATGTGTGAGCGGCAGGAGTGAAGGCTCTGGCTGGAGGTGTGGGTTCTGGGCAAGGGTAGGGGGTAGACAAGAAGGGCTTTCTTCTGAGTGGAAAAATGTTTGTCTGCATAGAATATTTAGACAAGCAGCTAGTTTGGAGGGGTAAAAGTATCTGGAAATGGTCATGTTAAATATAAACATGCATGAAAAAGTGAGTTTTAGTTGGTATCCAACATTTTTCCTTTTGATCAGTTTCTGATAATCAGGGTTATTCTGGGCCCTAAATAATTTAAAAGAAAAGGAACAGTGATCTAAAAAGGAAAATACAATGTTTGAAGTTTAGGCTAACAACAATAGTGTTGGTTCCCTGAAGTAATGAAGTAGTGTTAGTAATAGTATGTAATGATTAAAGGGTCCCAGACTAGTATGTAATGATTAAAGGGTCCCAGACTATCTCATTAAGTAGAAGGTGCAGAATATTGATTGAATGCAGTTTATAAAATGGCATAATGAATTAGAACACTAAAGTAGGCTAATAATAAATATTCTATAGCAAATTGCATACACATTGCCCTGTAACCTACTTTCACATCTTTTGTAACTTAATTCCACCTTTCAACATCTTTTTTTTTCTTTTATTATAAAAAGGCCACAAAGACTTCAGGTTTGAGACCAATGGAACAAAAAGATATTAAAGCAGTGCAAGAATTAATCAACAGTTATTTGAAGCAATTTAATCTTGCTCCTGTAATGGATGAAGAAGAGGTAGCCCACTGGTTCCTGCCTCAGGATCATATTATTGACACCTTTGTAGTTGAGGTAAAAACATTGGTTAACAATGTAAATGGGGTATATGTAAACTCCATCCTTGCTGTCCCAGTAATATTACACAGGTAAATCAATACAAGGCTATATTGACATTAATGTTCTGATGGCATCAAATTACTGCCATGGGAAACACTGTAGCTTTCCACTGTATTCAGAGACATGAGCTATACTTAACTTTTAATTTGTGGAGCTTGACATAATAGTTTTTTAGTTTTCTTCTTTATATTAAACAGAGAACAGTAAACATTATTGTATGTGCCGATTCTAATTGCATGATAAGAAAATGCTTATTTTTGGAGGCTGTATGGACGGCAGGGTAATATAACAGGTTGTTTTTACCACCCTTTTGGGGGGGAAAAAACCCAATTTGATTGTAAGTAATAATATTTTAACTTGCTTTTCCAGAAAGAAGGAAGCTGCTAAAATGATTGAGATAAGTACAGCCAGTCCCCAAGTTGCGAACGGTCAACTTACGACCATTCGCAGTTACGACCAAAGCTGTAGTAAATGGCAGACCCCGAGTTACGAACGTGATCCGTGCTTACGAACAGCGCAGTCGCGTGTAACTCAATGGGGTCCGACTTACGAACAAACTGAGTTACGACCAATTGCTTGGTCCATAACCGGTTTGTAAGTCGAAGAGAGGCTGTAAATGGGAATCTGAGATCAGATGTCATTCCTTGAGATGTCATATAGGAACTCCACAGTAAGCCAGCATAAAATTTAAATCTTGCTTATCTGATTTCAGGTGCACCTATTTATGTGGCGAGTCCTAGAACCTGATAAATCTGCCTCAAATGTAATCTGATACTCAAAGTCACACCTCCTGCTGCTATTATTTGTGTGGGTAAAATTTTCAAAATGGCCCATGTAGCTTGAGAAACTAAGTCCCATTGAAAGATGTCCTTTAAAAAAATACTTCTCTCTTATAACACTTCATGTGCCCCTTTTGAGCTACAATGCTGCAATTTAATATACTTATTCAATGTGAATCCCTAAAGCTGATTCAAATATGATACATATTTTTCCCAAAACAGTGTCAAAAATAAAAAAAAAAATCCTTTTTCCAAAGAACGGGAAAATTTTTGAGAAAAGACAGGAGACAGATATATGAATACTTATGTTATGAGTTCTTAAAAAAGAGGACAGTGATCAGTTGTTTATAGGAAAGTAGCAGAAGAAGTAATTGTCTTTATTTGCTGCAGATAATATTTAGGTTAGTTACTAGAAAAAACTTGCTAGTTACAAGGAGAGTTAAGTACTGGAACAGATTATGACAAGGAGCAATGGGCTTACATAGGGGCTACGTCTAGAGGTTTACTGGAGCAGTCAACAAAGGCTTCCCTTGTCGACCGTGCCACGTCTAGACTGCCACGCTGTGCTGGATCAGCTGATCGTCAGCACAGCACAGCGGCCATTTTTATTTTATTGAAGCAAGGATTATTTAAATCCCCGCTTCTTTGACTATGCTGAATAAACTATTTTACATGGTTGTGTCAACGGAGCCATGTAGTCTAGATGTAGACTGAGGCAAGGGAGGTTTAGGTTGGACATTAGGCAAAAATTCCTATCTTTCAGGGTGGTTAAACACTGGAAAAAATTGACTAAGAAGGTTGTGGAATCTCCATTATTGGAGCTATTTAAGAGCAAGTTAGACAGACATCTATCAAGGATGATTTAGATGGTGCTTGGTCCGATGAGAGCAGGAGACTGGACTTGATGACCTCTTGAGGTCCTTCCAGTTTTAGTATTCTATGATTCTTTGATTACCGAGGGAGGTTGTGGAATCCCCATCATTGAAGGTTTTTAAGAACAAGTTAGGTCTTCCCTGACAGATGTTTGTCTTGGTATACTTAGTCAGCTCTGCCTTATCATGGGGGCATGGAATAGAGGACTTCTCAAGGTCCTCCACTCCAGCTCTGCCTTTCTGTTTATTAAATTAAGATTTTATGAGGGCACCAATTCTGCGCACTTGATTTTAATTAAGAGAATTTTTGAAGTTGTCATGTAGAGACCAGTGCTGATAACCATGTCCACTATACCTCTGGCAACTAGGACAGTAAACTTCCGATAATCTGGCACCTTTAGGACCCAGGGGGTGCCGGATTATCAGATATGCCAGACTATCGGGTTATTAAATTAAGATTTTATGAGGGCACCAATTCTGCGCACTTGATTTTAATTAAGAGAATTTTTGAAGTTGTCATGTAGAGACCAGTGCTGATAACCATGTCCACTATACCTCTGGCAACTAGGACAGTAAACTTCCGATAATCTGGCACCTTTAGGACCCAGGGGGTGCCGGATTATCAGATATGCCAGACTATCGGGGGGGGGTAAGATGTTATATAGATACTGTATACATTATATACTTTATATAAAGTGTTCTTAACCCTTTTTATTGTACATACTGTATACAGTATACTGTAATATTTTAGTTTTTTTAAGCCTTTTTTACCCTTTTTGCTCAGTTCAGCTGCTGCCGCTGTTACCTTGTGACTCATTTTTTGCTGAA